TGTTGAAAGTGGCATAAGAATGTCATTTTACCTGGGAGGATTTGTTTTACTTCCTCTAAGAGACTGACATTAATATCTCCCCCACCGCTACCCCCAAATTCCACTTTGAAACCTTCCATGTGACAATGTCTAAACATGAGGACAACGTATATGCCACGGTCCAGAAACTAGGATTCCACGTTCTCCATCTAGGAGAAAGGGCTGGCCTTTGGTCTCACCCAAATCTGGATTCGAATCCCAGCCCCACCATTCAGAGTCTAATTGCTTTGGGCCAGTTACTTCATTTTCTCTAGTGTCAATTTCCTTGTCTGTGAGATAAATTGTTGCCTTGCAAAACTGCAGTCACTCTACAAATATTTGTGCTACCAGAGACCAGCAAGATAGGCAAGGTTTCTGCCTTGCAAGCAGTCCAGGGGGCACCAGATGTTAAGCGAAGAGTCGCAGCCCAGCGTAGGCAGTCCGGCTGTGGTGGTGGGAAGGGGCCAGGGCATTCTGAGGAGTTCCGAGGGATGACTGTGCCCTTAAGGTCCTGCTGCTTGCTCTCGGGTGCAATGCAGGAAACATCCTTTGCTCTGGAATTGCTGGCTGCTAACTGAAAGTTTGGAGCCCTGGTGATGCAGTGGTTAAGCGTTTGGCTGCTAACCAAAAGTTCAGGAATTCGAATCCACCAGCTGCTCCTTGGAAACCCTATGACCCTATGGGGCAGTTCTGTTGTGTCCTTATAGGGTTGCTATGAGTCAGAGTTGATTTGATGGCAATGGGTTCTTTTTTCTCAGTCTCTCTGGCCCAAAAATAGATTTAAGAAGAAGAGCCTAATCTACCCAGGGAAGGCTTGGAAAGAAATGATATGTAAACATCAACCTGAAGAATGAATAGGAATTTACTAGGGAGGGGGTAGGAGAGCTGGAAGAAATTTCCAAGCTGACGTAAGGGCACAGTAAAGCCCACTGTCGAGGGCAGATTAACCAGTAAACATGATGTGCACAGGTTTAATAGTATTTACTTGCTAATCTGTGGTGAGCAATTTCACATGGGTTTGACCACATCTTTGACGTGGTGGGGGACAGGTGACATTGTGCACTGCAGATTGGTGGGGAGGCATAATTGGACCTGGGCATATCTTCATTATTTGGTAATACAGCCCTGGCCATTGATGAGAGAGAGAGAGAATGAGAAAGCTCAAGCCTGTTTAGGATAACTGAAAATAGCTGAGCTGAGGTCAGCAGGCTTTGTTGAAGCCCTGGCTTTGTTCAAGTCCTGACTCTGCCATATACTTAGAAGTCATTTAAACTCTCCAAATCTCAGTTTCTTCATCTGTGAAATGGGAATGATAATATAGCCTCCTAGTTGTTCTTAGGATGACATGAAATGACACATACACTATAAGGGTTCCATTATGTTAGTTGCTGTTTTTATTATTATTGGTTATTGCTCAGAAAATAATAATGGTTGATTTGTTAATAAAATAACCCTTGCCTAGAGAATTATGGAATAAGAACTCAGGAATTGGCAAACTTTTTCTTAAAGGGTCAAATAAAACATTTTAAGCTCCTGTGCCATGTGGTCGCTGTTGCAGCTACTCAACTCTGCCTCTGTAGCACAAAAACAGCCCATACACAATGTATAAATGAATGTGTTCCAATAAAATTTTATTTATAAAAACAGGCAGCAGTCCTATTTGCTCACCCCTGATACTAGATTAAGGAGCCCTGGTGGCACAGTGGTTAAGCACTTACTTGGCTGCTAACCAAAAAGTTCGTGGTTCGAACTCAACAACTGTTCTGTGGGAGAAAGATGGGGCAGTCTGCCTCTGTAAAAATTTATGGCCTTGGTTAAAAAAAAGAAAAAGAAAAAAATGTGAGAAAATAAAATAAACTGTGAGAAAAAAGAAAAGATTTGCAGCCTTGGAAACCCTTTGGGGCAGTTCTACCCTGTTGTATAGGGTCACTATGAGTTGGAATTGACTCAACAGCAGTGGGTTTTTTGGTTGGACACTAGATTATTAAAACAAGGCTCTGTCATTTGAGATGCCTCGTAGGATACCTGTTGCTGTCGAGTCTTAACCACTACGCCACCAGGGTTTCCATCATTTGAGAAGACATTGTATTTTAATTCTCTTCCGAATTTAATCCTTCTTCCCTTGCTTGGAATGCTCTTTGTGACCAGCAGTTACATATGTCTGTATTGGCTTACAATATTGCATAACAATAAAACAAAAAGTGATATGCCAACAGTAAAATTCCCCATTTTATCACAAGAAGAGCTCATGAATTCAGATTCCATGAAGTTCATGAATGGCTATTTATTCCACCTGAGATGATCAGTTGCCGTTATCCTGCATCAAGAAGCCGAAGCTTACAATTGCAGTAATGAACAATCACTCAAGGACTATGACAGCAGAGAAGCCCCAGGACAAAGAGTAAGAGATACTTAATGCAGCCACTGGTCTGTTTTCTGTCCTTATATTTTGCCTTTTTCAGAATGTCATCTAAATGGGCTCATACAGGATGTAGCCTTTTTTAATGATAAAAAGGAGAATGGGTACTTTGATTTGAAAATGCTCTTACCCATTAAAGGAAGGGTTCTTAACTGGTGACAGTTTTGCTCGGAAGACATTTTGCAATGTCTGTTGACATTTTTGGTTGTCACAACTAGACGAAAGGGTGCTAGTGGCATCTAGTGGGTAGAGGCCAGGGATGCTGCTAAACATCCTACAGTGCACAGGAAGTCCACCCCCTCACAAGGAACTGTCTGGCCCCAAATGTCAATCATGTGACATTGAGCAAATGCTGGAGCCCTGGTTAAGAGCTCGACTGCTAACCAAAAGGTCAGCAGTTTGAATCTATCAGCCTCTCCCTGGAAATCCTATGGGGCAATTCTATTCTGTCCTGTATGGTGCTATGAGTCAGAATCAACTTGACTGCAACGGGTTTGGGGTTTTTTTTGGTTGGCAAATGCTATTTCACTTGCGTGATTTCCTCGGGAGGTAGTATGATATACTGTAGTTATAAGAAGTACAGATTCTGGGGGCAGACTCCCTGGGTTAGAATTCTGTCTTACCCCTTGTGGGGCAGTTCTACTCTGTTCTATAGGGTCGCTATGAGTTGGATTCGACTGGATGGCAATAGGTGAATTATTATTTTTTTGTTTCAAATTTTTTGGTGATGCCACATGTTTTCACTAATTGAACAGATGCTGAATCATTGTTGGTAGTTTTATATTATTTGAAAAAACGGGGTGCCAATTGCAAGCAGGCCATATCGGTACCATGTTACATGAAGTAGATCGCAAATGTGGACATGTCAGTACCATGGCCCAGGAAGTGCATCACACTTCCTGATTACCCTTGAGCCATAAACTATCTTAGTCAACTTTCCAAAAATACAAAATGCTAAATAAGCACTGCACTTGCCGCACATAATTGTTATCAGTTTGATTTACAGTGGGCCATATAGGTATCATGTTCCGTGAAGCATATCACACACGTGGTACATATCGGTCCCATGGCCCAGGAAGTGCATCACAAACTGTTTTCAGCCCAAAAATAACTCCTTTACTTGGATATTTCCAAATGCCAGTAACCATACCTTCCCAGTAACACGAAGGAAATAGTAAACAGACTTGCAAGCCTTATCTCGCTGTACAGAAGTCAAAAGACACAAAAGTGTCACTCAATCACTCCTCTAGGAAACGTCCCCTTGTAGGAATGGCTAATTATGCAAAGCAATCCTAAACAAATAGATGTTAGGCATGTGGAAGGGAGGTACTCCTTTGTCAAGTGGTGACAGTCGAAATGAACCAAATCATGATAAATAGTGGATGAAATATGAATTAACTTATGCTATTATGAGCTTGTGTTACCTTTATAATTGCCTCCCCTCTTCACCCTCCCCCCCACCTTGGACAGAAGCAGATGGCAGCCAAGCAAGAGAAAGTGGAGCTGAGTTCCAGGTTTCGCAGGACTTCTGGTGGAGCACTAAGGGCTGGTTCCTAGGCGGTCTAGAGGAGCTGTCCCGGGAAGTGACAAAGAAGCAGAATGAGAACCTGGCCCAACTCAGGGACAATGGCTCTGCTCTCAAAACTCAGCAGTCAGATCCAAGAGACCTTTCTCCAGTTGAGTCTGGCTCTGCCAGGAGTTTGAATCATTTGTCCTCTACTACATGTGATGGTTTTTATTCTATTTATTTATTTTTTTTTAAAAAAGGTCACTCATCAACGTCATTGAATTGCACGTTTAGAAATTGTGAATAGATGTAAGTTTGGTTGTGCATATTGCCACCAAAAATTGAAAAAAGAAGTCACAACCAACAAAATTTCACAAGCCATTAATAGGTCAAGTATAATTTAAAAGACATTAGCCTTAATGATCAGTTGCTGCATAAAGACTGTGGCTTGTCTCTTGTGGTTTCGAGAGCAGAGGTAACACGGGGTCCCAGTAGATGGCTTTAGAGAAGATTCTGGGGTACAGAGGGTAGAGGATTGGTCGGGCATTGGCGCAGGATGCTGGAAGGAATCTTGAGAATCTGGCCCTGAAGGGGCAATCCCAGGTGATTCTGATGCATGCTCAAATTTGAGAATCACTGACTTAATACCTGGTAACTACAGCTCAGGCTGTTAACCAAAAGGTCGGTAGTTCGAATCCACCATCTGCTCCTTAGAAACCCTATAGGGCAGTTCTACTCTGTCCTATAGGGTCGCCGTGAGTCGGAATCAACTAAACAGCAACGGGTTTGGTTTTTGGTTTGGTTAACAATTAGTACTTAAAGCTGCAGAGATGAGCAGTGGGCTGATCATGAAAGTCTTGATAGGTTAAAGTTAAAACGCAAAGGGACCAGCAGCAACACCCACAGGTAAAGCCAGGGAACTACCTGAATCTCTGCTCTCTCTCCCTTCTTCCTCAGCGGGCCTTGCCCATAGCGCCCGCTGATTGGTGGAGTCTCTCGTGGACTTTCGCTATCCACCCACCGCGAAGAGCGTGAACTGAGAGCTGTGCGCCTATTGGCTATAAAACACGCCGCGGAGCGGGGCGGAGCTGCGCGTGCGTAAAGGAGAGGCTCGCCGCTGGCGGCCGTTGGAAAATGGCGACTGTTACCGAGCTGAAGGCTGGTGAGTCCTAGCCGGGTGGTTTGCCGCGTGAGTAGCATCGGGCCTGGACCCTGTGAAAAGAATGAGACAGAAGGAGAGCGAGCAGAACACAGGGTCAGATTTCCGGGGAACATTCTGAGGTATTAGGGCCTGTGAAGCGGCCTGCTGGTGTGGCAACTACTACGCTGGGGACTCTGAGGATAAAGTGGTTGCACGGGAGCAATTTTTAACCAGGGTTGGAGGTAGAGGAGAGTCCTCAGAATCTGTCGGTACCTGAGAAGTCTGTAATCCTAGCACCTTGGGTCTCTGGAGCATCTTCCTGACTCCGACAGGTGGCCGGCCAAGAGCTTAGGCCGAGCCTTTCATTCGCACCCCTGCCCCTGTGTAGAGTTGCCAGATAAAACATTAAAACATTATTACTTGTTATCTGAAGTTGAAACTTAATTGCCTGTCCTGTATTTTTGTTAAGTCTGTCAACCGTACCCCAGTCTCTCTGGGTTGTACCCTGTACTAGGACGTAGAGGTACAGGGGTGAGTGAGGCAAACGAGGTCCTCCTGGACCTTCTGGTCTAGTGGGGGCGACAAACAATAATTGCTGCAAAGGAGACAAAAAGGGGTGATGGTTTAGATCAGGATGTGTCAACTCATTGTTGACATTTTAGGCCGGACGATTCCCGGTTGTGGAGGGCTGTCTTGTGCATTGCGGGATGTTTAGCAGCATCCCTGGCCTCCCCCTACTAGATGCCAGTAGCGCCTCCTTTCCTAGTTGTCACAACCAAAATGTCTCCGGACTTTGCCAGATGTCCCCTGGGGGCGAAATCGTCCCTGGTTGAGAACCATTGCTTTAGAGAATGTGGAGGGCCCGCGCGAAAGTAATTTGCAAGCGCTCGTTGCTTACATACCCCCTGACTGCTTCGGTAAAAGATTTTGGCCCCTAAGTGATATCTTGAAATGTTTACTGAGTTTCTGCCTGCTTTACACCAGGTGCCACACCAGGCCCTGGGTTTGGGGAGATTCTTTTTTTAAAAAATGGTGGCGATGATGATTATAATACCCACAAACATGATGTTAGGCACTATCCTAAACGATTTTCTTGGTAATCTCACTGAATTCTTAAAACAACCCATGAGATGGGTCCTGCCTTTCAAACAGGAGAAATTAGAGGCAGAAAGTTTCCTGGCCTTGACATTTTCCTGTCCTGTAATAGGAAAAGTTCTTCAAAGGTAGTTATATGCTAGTCATTAAGCTGATAACATTTGTACAGTGTTATTTTTGAAGCAGATGTGCAGACAAGTACTAGTAATAAGTTATCAGTGGTTGAGGGCTTATTTTCCAGGTGTTATGCTGTACAAGGAGCCCTGGTGGTGCAGTGGTTAAGCGCTTAGCTGCTAACCGAAAGATCGGTGGTTCGAAGCCACCAGCTGCTCAGTGGGAGAAGGATGTGGCAGTCTGCTTCCGTAAAGGTTTACATTCTTGGAAACCCTATGGGCCAGTTCTACCCTGTCAAATAGGGTCCCTATGAGTTGGAGTCGACTCAACGGCAGTGGGTTTGGGTTTTTGGTTTGGTATGAGGTAAACTATACCCGTTTCGTAGAGTAGAAATTGAGGTACCAAAAAGGAAATAACTCGCTTATAGTCATTTAGCTAGTAACAGGCAGAGTCTAGGTACATATGTATGATAGCTCAGAGCCCCCAGTCTTAACCACTGAGCTATATTGCTGCCCAGTGAATAAAACTAGCTGCAGTCTTCAGGGGACTCAGGGTCTAAATCAGTAATTCTTAGAGATTTTGGGTGGGGGAGGAGGTTAAACCTCCTTGAGAATATGAATCAGCAATCATTGATATAATTTTATATTTGGGGCGCTGGGCTGGTGAACAATGATTTTAAAAAAAAAGGCATGCATCTGTCCACAAGAACATACTTAACATTGAATCTATTCCTTCTTTCCAGGAAAATGCATATCACATGTCATACCGCATACATTTTTAGAGGGTTTAAAGATCCTCTGTTGGATATAAGCCAGGCTAACCACCCCTTCTAAAGGAGTTGTTATGGTACATGTTTTAAGCACCATAATAGAGGGAAGGACAGAATGATAATGGAACGCCAGAAGAAGGCATAATTCTCTGGGGAATAGGAGTGTCCTTTATAGACATATGGGGCCCTTTATATTTCTTCTGCTTTCCCCAGTTCTGAATGTGCTTTGTGTTCAAGACAAACCCAGTGAAAACTTGTTTGCTAACCAATTATTTTACATTTTATTGGCTTTTATCTTTTCTAAGCACTTTCACATTTTTTCCACCTCATTTGGTTCTGCCTCAGAAAGGTAAAACTCATTGTTTTGGAGGAGGCAACTGAGGCATGGGTTGTTGATTCTGTTGAGAGGATATGCACTGAGGTGCTGAAGAGACATGCCAGGTTTCCTGATTCTAGCTTCACTAATTTTCATTTCTCTGATGAATTTGAGACTGCTGAGTACAATACAGAGTAATTTGGACAGGATCCCTGCCAGTGCAAAAAATCTCTCCATCTGATTTCCAAAGATGGAGTTAGAGATCAGGGGTTCACTTATGATCCTACAAGTATGATGAGACTGTACCTTTTTTTATGGGCCTGTTATAAAGTGTGATTGGGTGATAACTATAGTTATATACCTACAGAAAGGTTGAGGGGATGATTTAAAAATATGGCGAAGAAAGATGAAAAAGTCTAGTCTAGATGTATTCTTTAAACATATGACCCAGAATTTTTTGTTTTTGTTTATCAAGGCTTAAAAATTGTTTATATTTAATGTCCATGCTTATGTGGCTAAGCTCCTGAGCTCCTTTTATGATTTTCATTACTGTGGAGTACTATTTTGGTGCCTTTAATACAGTACAGTATTAAAGTATACTTATTTCACCAGTAGTATACTACACAATATAATAATGTTCCTAGGTAACATGTATTGAGCTCTTGCTATGTTCCAGGCACTGTGGGTGAGATGTACTGATTCTCTGGGGTTAAATCACTTAGCCATTAGGGACTATTTGAAAAAGAAGGTTCCAGACCACTGCAAGGGATGGTACTAATTCAGCTCCATGCCCTTTCTATCCATACTAGCATTTACAGTTACTGGTATTGATAGTGATGACCCTGGCTCATCAAGAAAAGTTAGGTTACATTCAGTGTACATATCCCTTACTCTTTAAATCTTTAAATATTACTTTTTAAGATTTACCACCTGCCTGTCAGTTTGTCTTACAGTGGTGTCGTGAGTGTTGCTGTAATGCTGGAAGCCAGGGTCACACATGGTGGACAGATTTCAGCAGAGCTTCCAAACTAGAACACTAGAAAAAAAGGCCTGGCAATCTACTTCTGAAAATTAGCCAGTGAAAACCCTATGGATCACAGCAGAATATTGTCCAGTGTAGTCCTGAAAGATGAGCCCCCTGCTTTTGAAGACACTCAAACACAGTGGCCGCAACAATGAACTTGAGCGTACCAATGATCATGAAGACAGTGCAGGACTGGGCAGTGTTTTATTCAGTTGTGCATGGGGTCACCATGAGTCAGAGCCTACTCAATGGCAAATAACAACAACAATTCTTTTAAGATGGGCATTGATACAGTCACGTGTGAGATTTCTAAGTAAGCCTAGATAAAATTTGAACGTTCTGCTGCTGTAAAGAGCTAACTCATAATTGTCTTAAAACAAACAAACAAAAAAAAAAAACTTTTCATGAGTAGGTCATTCCCAGAAGGTTTTGGATATCCAAGTTTTTATTTTTTAGCATAAAAGACATGACACCTCTTTCCTTTTATACGTGTGATTGTTTTCTTTAATAATCTCCTTTCTAGACCAGAGGTTTTTAGTGACAGATAGAACCTGTCTGCAGTGACAAACACTCTTGAGAATATATGAGAGACTGCGGATTAAGTTCAGATTCTATTATGATAACTGGAATTCTGTCTCTTTTTTTTTTCTCATTAAAGTATATCAGACTGTAGCCCCTGACAGTGATGATGTTATAATAATAAACTTGAATTTGTTCTAGTGTATTAAATAGTAAATCATTGCAACTCGGGAACTCTGTTTTTATCACAAACATGGCTTATGGTTCCTACTGGGATGATTGTTCAATTTGTCACAATGTAGATTGAGAGCTGCTATTGGTGCCATTTACCTTTTAAATATTTTTTCTTTGAAGTACCCCAAATCATGATAAAGATTTCTTCTATAATTGAAGCATTAATATTCTAATATTTTATATTTAACAGTTTTAAAGGACACCTTGGAAAAAAGAGGTGTACTAGGGCATTTAAAAGCAAGAATCCGAGCTGAAGTTTTTAATGCCCTAGATGATGAACGTGAACCTCGACCACCATTGTCTCATGAAAACCTTCTAATTAATGAATTAATTCGGGAGTATTTGGAATTCAACAAATACAAGTATACATCATCTGTCCTTGTCGCAGGTAAATGGTGTTGTTAATTACTTGAGTCAAAATCTGCTTCTCTCTCTATCCCTATTCTCAGAAAGTGATTCAGCCTGCAAGTCTAATTCCATCACCAAACAGTGTCATCTGGGTGACTGGGATATAAAAATCACATGGACTCTTTCTGTAGTTTGAACAAGATCTCATGAGGTTTATTATACTATAGGGGAGAATAAATAGCTAAACAAATAAGTACTTAAACTAGGTATACTTTGAAAAAACATCTGTCATTCTTGACATTGAAAATAAACAGTTGTTGACATTTTGTCCTATTTGCTGCCAGACTTTTTTCTATGTATATGCTTTAAAAATATACACATACACTCTTAGATTAAACGTGTATGTTGCTTTTTATAAATGTAAAACATTGAAGATAAAGCCTCGAAATATTACTACTATGTGGAGAAATATATACATATGTAAGTAAAAGCATGGTATTTAAAATGGACCAAACCAGAAAACCAAACCCCTTACTGTCAAGTCAATTCTGATTCATAGAACCCTGTAGGACAGAGTAGAACCACCCCATAGGGTTTCCAAGGAGTGGCTGATGGATTTGAACTGCCCTCCTTTTGGTTAGCATCCAAACTCTTAACCACTGCACCACCAGGGCTCCTTAAAATGGGCTAGAAGGGTTTAACTGCACTCACTCCAATGATAGGATGGACAAAAATGGTATTGGAGGAGGAGAGAAGCAGCTAAAGAGAAATTTACTTTATCTTTTAAGTTTTATTTCTTTAAAAAAAAAAAAAGTAATTCTCTTGCATCTAACAGTTATTAATTCGGGTGGTGAGAATGTAGGCTTATTTTATTATCATCAACATCTTTTACTAACTTTAAATGTCTTCCCCCAAAGCGGGGGAAAGCACTGGTTGGATATACACGGTAGTCAAGATAGTGGTTACCTCTGGGGTGTGGAGAGGAGTAAAATTAGGAGGTTGAGGGGATGATCTACAGCACCTTGCATGTACCTCATTTAATTCTCTTGTTTAAGGTTTCATCAATTCTTTAAGACTATTTCATGCCTCAGAGGTGTACCTCATCAAAGAAAAGAGTTTATGAAGTAGAGTTTTGGAGAGAGAATGAATTCCTTATCTGTGAAGCTAGAAGTTTCCATTACAGATATTTTATTTAATATTTAGTATATGTCTTTTGGAAACCCTTGTGGCGTAGTGATTAAGTGCTACGGCTGCTAACCGAAAGGTCAGCAGTTCGAATCCACCAGGCGCTCCTTGGAAACTCTGTGGGGCAGTTCTACCCTGTCCTGTAGGGTCGCTATGACTCGGAATTGAGTCAACGGCAATGAGTTAGTTAGTTTAGTTATGTATCTTCTGGGGACTAAGGTACGCCTGACCCAAGCCATGGTATTTTCAGTTGTCTCATACACATGCAAAAACCAGACAATGAATAAGGAAGACCAAAGAAGAATCGATGCCTTTGAATTATGGTGTTGGTGAAGAATCTTCATGGACTGCCAGAAGAACGAACAAATCCGTCTTGGAAGAAGTACAGCCAGCATGCTCCTTAGAAGTGAGGATGGCAAGACTTCGTCTCATGTACTTTGGACATGTTGTCAGGAGGGACCAGTCCCTGGAGAAGAACATCATGCTCGGTAATGTAGAGGATTGGTGAAAAAGAGGAAGACCCTCGAAGAGATGGATTGACACAGTGGCTGCAACAGTGGGCTGAAGCACAACAGTGATTGTGAGGATGGCGCAGGACTGGGCAGTGTTTTGCTCTATTGTACGTAGGGTCACTGTGAGTCAGAACCAACTCAACGGCACCTAACGACGACACATATTTTAACTGAATAAAGACTAATGATTTTATTGGTTTAAGGATCTTCAATATCAGTGTCTCCACTTGCTTTGTTTGTTATAGTTGGCAGTATATTACCATTAACACTCAGAAAAGGAAGAAAATAAAGGAAATATCATCAATTAAGTGTCTTGGACTTGGGCTTTCCTAGAATGATGTGTAGTGACAATAGTCAAGTTTCATATTAAATGTTTTAATTAATCTTACTTTTAGAGTTATTGCCACTAAATGGATATTTTTCTCAAAAATAAGTTATTCATACTGTCGTGTTTAATTTATTGGCTACTTAGAAAACACACTTCTGAAATCTAGTATTGTTGTTTAGATATAGTAGCAGAATTTTCCCAACCAAAAAATAAGGGATTTAAAAAATGAATTTATGTTAGATGGTATTAACTTATGTATTTAACAAAATATATATTTTGAAAATGGTAAATCATATGTAATTGGGTCTGTCTTGGTATGTGCCATCATCATTCTTCTAAAACTGGAAAAATGTGTATACCTTGTAAGGGTGCTTCTTATTAGATCATCTTTACTTTTCAGATTAATTAATATAGTGTTTTCATGAATTTTCCCCCCCAGAGTCTGGTCAACCTGTAGTTCCATTGGACAGACAATTTCTCATCCGTGAACTGAACTTATTTGAAGAACCAAAGGATAATACAATGTAAGTTTTTTTTTTTTAATAGATTGAATAGGCTTTTAAATATTGTTGTATTGGAGTCATAGTTGCATTGCTGGTTTTATTTCATTTTAACTCAGCAGGTATTTTTTCTAGTATATGTCAGTCTCTGGGTGGTGCATACAGTCAGCGTGCTCAGCTGCTAACCTAAAAGGTGGAGGTTCAAGTTCACCCAGAGGCACCTCGGGAGAAAGGCCTGGTGATATAATTCTAAAAAATCAGCCATTGAAAATCCTGTGGAGCTCAGTTTTGCTCTGACACACATGGGATTGCCATGAGTTGGAATTGACTTGATGGCAACTGGTAAGTAGTAGATGTCAAGGACTGTGCCAAATCCACAGTGTGCAGCAGCGAGCAAGACAGCTGAGGTCTATGCTCCTAGAGCTAAAATTCCCATGACTTCAGAAGGCTAAGCATCTCCACTTTCTAAGGGCAACCCCTCTGGGCTTCTTGATCCATCGGTTTTTTGTTTCCTTTTTAGGCTTTGTTCTATTGATTGTTTCCTTCCTTACATGTAACTCTTCCTCTCCACTGCTTCCTTCACTTTAACTTAGGAATTTGCTCAGATCTCCCTCTCCTAAGAAAACCTATCCACTTCTACCCCTAAGCTACTGCTTGATCTCCTTTTTACAACTAAACTTACTGAAAATCAACCCTCTGCTTTCATTTTATTATTACCCCTTCTTTTACCCTCCCTGCATTTTAAATTCTCCCCTTATCATGTATACTGAAACTGTGCTTTTGAAAAGGAGGGTGACCCCCTTCTAGTAGTTTCTTAGGTCTGTTCATGCTTGAATGTTTCTTAAACTTTGCCCAGAGGATCCCTGAATGGCAAAAAAAAAAAAAAAATTTGTACCTAGGAGTCTGGGACCATAGCTCAAAGCAGCCTCTCCCTAACAAGAGAGCCTTATGTTTTCTCTTTCTAAAAATGTATTGTATTTTTTTCCTTCTACTTTATGGTATAATTGTGTTTGCTTTACCATAAAAGATTTTTTAAACTATATGCCAGTTAAATTTAAGTCCCCCCAGAAATTTTTGTGTAAAATTAATGTTCCAGAATTATATGCCATTTTTATCCAGTACTTTGTACCAAGCCGCTAGCTCCAACAGTGTGTGTATATATGTTTTTCCCATTTGAGAAGCCAAGTTTTGTTTGAGTTTCTGCAGCATATTTAATATTGACTACTCCTCCTTTTTGTCATTTAGCTTTTGTGACCCTTTACTGTTTTTCCTATCTTCCTAGTGGTGTTCTTGGTCTCTTTCATTGACTCTCAGGGCTCCTTTAAATTGTGGGCAATCCCCAAGTTTTGTCCTCAGCCTTCTTTTCCAGTAGACCTCCTTTTCTGAGTACTCTTGAGTCTTTAATGGTGCCTCCATCCTGGTGACTGCTTTAAACCACTACGGATCTCCTGAGTCATGGGCTCAAATTTCTGTTGCCATCTTAAATTCAGTGTGTTCAGAGATCAACTCCATTATTGTCATCTCCTCAAGCTTCCTTGTAGGTTCCTTATATAGCCATTCAGGTCTCAAACTCAGAGTCTGCTTAAATTTTTGGCTCGTTCTCATTTCTCCACTCATCACTTTCCAAGTCCCATTAATTCTGCCCCTGCAGTATCTCCTATCCATTCTCGCGGCCCTGCACTATCTCCAGCTGCTTTCTTCTCCAGTTTATACCTCACACTGCCAACAGCTGACTTTCTGAACAACAGTCATTGCTTTGTTTAAAAATGTTTGACAACTTTCCATTGTGTGTACAATGAAGTCCACATTCCTTAGCATAGCATTTTAGGCCTCTGTCTTTCTACCTCATCTCTGTATCTGCCCGCGCCCGATTGCTCATTGTGCCCTGAAGACACCTTGCAGCTTCATGCTTCTTTGCCTTCATGTGAACTATTGCCTTAGCCTAGAAGCCCCACATCACTACCATCTCCATCTTACTCCTGTTTGGAGTATCTTTTACCTTTATTGGCCCTGTTCAGATGTTATCTCCTTTATGACATTTTTTCTCTTCCTCCTTTCTTAAAGTTGGAACTAACTGTGTTTTCTCTATGTTTCTTTAAGATTTGGTTTATACTTTTATTACACATGTATTTCATTCTTCCTTATAGCTAATCTAATGGCTGTTCTTTCACTGAAGTTACTAGATGCTGCAAACAGTTAATGCACTTGGCTGCTAACTGAAAGGTTGGAGGTTTGAGTCTGCCCAGAGACACCTCAGAAGAAAGGCCTGGCAATCTCCTTCTGAAAAATCAGCCACTGAAAACCATATGGAGCACAGTTCTACTCTGACACCCATGGGGTTGCTATGAGTCTGAGTTGACTTGATAAACAACTAAGTTTTTGTTGTTGTTGTTTTGCTCTTCTATTAGAAAATTTTAAGAACTTTGACTTTTTAAAATCATATCTATTTCTCACAGTATCTAACAGTGCTTTTATGCATATAGGTACATAATAAATGCTTGTTGAGTTGAATTTCAGTTATCAAGAAAATTTGTCATCTATATAAAATCAAGGTGATTTTTGTAAAGAGAGAGAAGAAAACATTTCTTAGCTTAGTTATACTTCTATTTTCTTTAAAGCCTTTATGCTAATATCAAATGACTGCAGAAGCCTTTAGTAGCAATACTAAGTTGACTAAAGAGGAAATTTCATCGCCATTACGTTCATTTTAAAGCAAAAATTTGATTCGGATAAGTACAATTTGGGATAATGCACTAATGGGACATTGGTATAGCAGTATACATTTAACTAGTAAAGTAGCTGTTTTGAAATAGCATTTTAATTTTAGTATTTACTAAACATCTAGACTCCATCAAGCTCTGTGGCATAGCTTATGGTCTCGTTCTGACAGAAGGGTTTTGTGATGAATGAATCTAACAAGCTGACTGCTTGTTTACACATTCTGTCATTAAATATTGACATTAAGTGCTATGAACTCCTATACGAAGAACAGTGGCTAGAGTGGGTAGGATAAATCTTATTTGAGTACGGTTGTTAGAATTTGTTTTAATTATAGTGAAAATAATAATTGTTCATTCCCCAAAAAAATGGAGATAGCACAGAAGCTGATAACATTTTCTCTTGCCTTCATTCAGACATATACTATATATTTAAAGCATACATATGTATGTTTTTCTTCTACATATATAAGGGAGATTATACTCTACATGAGGGAGCCCTGGTGGCACAGTGGTTAAAGTGCTCAGCTGCTAACCGAAAAGTCAGCCATTCAAAACCAGCAGCCGCTCCACAGGAGACAGATGTGGCAGTCTGTTTCCATAAAGATTACAGCTTTGGAAACCCTATGGGGCAGTTTGACTCTGTCCTGTAGGGTTGCTATGAGTCGGAATCAACTTGAAAGCAGTGGGTTTGGTTTGTTCTGGTACGCTGCATGGCCTTCTGTAACTTGTTTGTGATGCCAGCATATATAGACTTCTTTCTTTTCTTATTTTCCTTTTTTTAAATTACAAGCTACGTATTTCAGACAGACAGAAAAGTACAGTGATATAAAGATATCTGTGTGCCCACCTCTCAAATTTGGAATCTTATGTTTTGCATCTGAATTTTTTTAAAATACATGAAATGTTAGGGGTGTCTTTGAAGGCCACCTATCTTATTACCAAAGGTCCCTGCAATAACCATGTTTTTCCTTTTTGTTTTAAACAGTTATATAATGTTCCAATTGCCGTAATTGGTTTATACATTCTCTTATTGATGGACATTTAGGTTTTTTCAGTGTTTTGCTTTTACATGAGCTGTTACAGTGAACATTGATTCACTTAAGAATATTTCAGGACTGACTATATGCCAGGCACGGTTGTAGGCACTGAAAATGTAGCAAAGAACAGCGTTTTCTGCTGTGTTGGAAATCATTGTTCCCAGAGTGTGATCCATAGAATGCTTCTGTGAGATGCTCAACAAAAAAAGAGATCCGGGGCCAAACAAGTGTGGGAAGGCTGGCATAGCAGACCCACTCTTGGGAAGTCAGCATGCGCATTAGTATAGCAAGCACTCTGAGAAGTCCTGAAATCAAGAGTGCTGTTAAATGTTGTTTAACTCAGAGTCTGCAAACCTATTTGATTAAAGAATCTTTTTTTGGCATCGTTAACTTGTATCCTGCAGAGCTAGTGTTCCATGGATACACTTGGTCAAACAGAGGTGTTGTTTTTTAAATAGCGATTTAGGTGAAAGTTTATGAAGCTAATTAGTTTCTCATTAAACAGTTAATACACAAATTGTTTTGTGACATTAGTTGCTAACCCCGTGATATGTCCACACTCTCCTTTTCTCTCCCCTTCTCCACCCCAGGTTCCCGGTTTCCATTCGTCCAGTTTTCCCGTCCCTTCCTGCCTTCTCGTCTTTGCTTTTGCGCTGGTGTGCCCATTTAGTCTTGTATACGTGGTTGAGCTACATGTATTATTGTTTATTTTATGGGCCTGTCTAATATTAGGCTGAAGGTTGAATCTCGGGATGACTTCAGTTACTATGTTAAAAGGGTGTCCGGGGGCCATACTCTTGGGGTTTCTCCAGTCTCTGTCAGACCAGCAAGCCTTGTCTTTTTTTTTTTTTTTTTTTTTGTGAATTTGAATTTTGTTCTACATTTTTTCCTGCTCTGTTTGGGACCCTCTATTCAAACACAGTTTTGAATGTTTGAGTTTTCAAAAAAATGGTAATACTTTAAGAAGCATAGATTTTGATAATTTTTGAAAAGCATAAAAATGATACAATTTTAAAAACTGGGAGAGATAATTTAAAGGAGTTTAATTGTGACTTAGGATGAGTAGTTAGATATTTCACTGTTTTAAGTTTGAGACAGCATTTTGCATTTAGCAAAATGGAAATGGGTAACTATTGGAAAAGAACAACTATTACTCTCTTAATGGCCTCTTGGTAGCTTTTGAGATATTTGCTGCGTATGAAATTTTAAGAAGCAGATGAGCTGCTTTATTTCCAGAGTGTTTGATAATTTCTCCTTTGTCTAAGCCCTTGTTTCTGATACTCAGCGATTTGCATATCACCTTCTTAAATATTGCTATATCCATGAACCACTTGTATTATTTACTTAGTCCAGGACTGAGAGTAGACCTGTACTTTACCTGTCCTTTATCCAAAATCTTTGAGGCCAAATGTGTTTTGGAAATTTAGAATTTTTCAGATTTCAGGTAACAATGTGGTAAAATTTTAGGGAGTCTAAAGTGGTACCTCATAGTCAACATTGATATTTTTCAGTGAAACTTAAGAATTTTTCAAACAGCAGGATAATGTCTGTAAATAGTCTTCTGTTAGGTCAGGCCATGACACCAAATGAGTTTGTGCCAAATTTATGAAGAAAATTCCAATTTTCAGAGGTTTTTTTTGTGTTTCAGAATTGCAGATAAGGTATAGTGGGACTATTATTATTTTTTAAATTATCTCTTTTTAACAGTTTTTCAAAAGAGAGACATTACTATCCATGAAATTACAGATTAAATCTGGTAGTTTTTTTTCTAATAACATTAAAATATCTATTAAAATTTAAAAGGTAAATTTTATTGTATATTATTTTAAAAGGTAATTTTTTAAATATCTTCTCGAACCAGTTAGCATTTTGGGAAATACTGGTTTAAAATAAATGAACAGATCCATTTTATATTCATTTAGAGTTGAAGATCTTATTTTATAGAACAGCTTACTTTGCTGCTTTCCTTGTGGTATAGAGACATTTCTTTGATATCCAGCTGTGTTATTTATTACAGCATAACAAATTATCCCAAAACTTGGTGGCTTAAAATAACAAACATTTATTATTTGTGGTCAGGAATCTGAGACTGGCTTAGCTAGGTGGTTCTGACTCCAGATCTCTCATGAGGTTGCAATCAGTATGTCAGCCAAGGCTGCAGTGATCTCAAGGCTTAACTGGGGCTGGAGGATCCCCTTCCAGGATACGATGGCTCACTCACATGACCGTTGGCCGGACACCTTGATTCCTTACCACATGGACACCTCCATAGGACTGCTCTAGTGTCCTCACCACATGGCAGCTGGCTTTCCTCAGAACAAGCAACCCAAGCAAGAGAGAGAGCAAGGAGGAAGCTGCATGTCTCTTGTGACCTAGTCTCTGAAGTCACGTATTGTCATGTCCACCTTATTCTGTTCATTGAGTCCACACTCAAGGGGAGGACATTTAGGCTCCACCTTTTGAAGGGAGCGTCATGTTTTAAACTGTCATGCCAGCTAACAAGTATATAGGATCTCAAAACAGAAATCCATTAAATTGTGTTTTCAGTTATGAGATTGGAAACAGTAACATTCCAGTTGTACCTCTCATTATTATCAGTGGAGCAGCTTCCATTTGTCCAAGGGTACTAATAGAAGTATCCTGGCAGCATATTGGAAAGGAAAGAATGCGGGAGTTGGAGTCAGAGATCTGGGTTCAAGTATAAATTTTATTTACTTAGCATCTGGGGGTCTCTAGCAAATCGTCTCTGAGCTGTGGTTTTCTTGTTTGTAAATCGGGGATGATGATTATATCACAAGGTAGGGATGAAAAGAGAAGCAAAAGTGTTTTGTAAATGGAAAAGTAGCTTTTAAAATATAAGCTATCATCCAACTTCTGTATAGCTAACGTTTGCATAGCATTTACTGTGTGCCAAGCACAGTTCTAAACACTTGACATGTATTAACTCATTTAGTCCTCATAACAACCCTATGAGATAGGAGCTGATTATCCTCATTTATAGAGGAGGAAACTGAAGCTGGGCAAGTTAAGAAATTGCCTAAGGTGACACAGCTGGCATGTGGCAAAGCCAGGATTTGAGCCTAGGCAATCTGGCTCTAGGGACATATGACCTTCTCTAGGCAAAAGGGACATATAACCTTCTCTGGGCAAAAATTCATGAATTTAGCAGGTATTTCTTGAATACCTCTCATGTATCAGACAAGGTTAGGTTCTGGGAGATACACAGTACTGGACTTTGGGGTTTGTCTTAGTTATCTAGTGCTGCTACAACAGAAATACCACAAGTGGATGGTTTTAACGAAGAGAAGTTTGTTTCCTCACAGTCAACGTAGGCCAAAAGTCCAAATTCAGGGCATCAGCTCCAGGGGAAGTCTTTCTCTCTCTGTCGGCCTTCTCATCAGTGTTCCCCCGGACTAGGAGCTTCTCGGCACAGGGAACCCTGTCCAGGGGATGCGCTCTGCTCTTGGCACTGCTTTCTTGATGGTATGAGGTCCCCTTTTCTCACTGCTCACTTCTGTCTTTTATATCTCAAGAGATTGCCTCAGGACACAGTCCAGTCTTGTAGATCAGGTCCTACCTTACTAACACAACTGCCACCCATCCTCCCTCATTAACATCATAGAGGCAGGTTTACAACATACGGGAAAATCACACAGTACCAAGAATCATGGCCTAGCCAAATTGATACACACATTTTTTGGGGGACATAATTCAAACCATGACAGGGTTTAAAAACTGAATTTCTGTGAATTAATTGAAATTTTATTTCAGTTTAGATGAGGTTTAAGTTGTTAATATGCATTCTCAGGGTTTTAAAATGGTCAGAGTTAAATGGTACTCTTAAATTTAAAGGAGCATGCAGTTTGCAATTTGGATAATAATCATACCTTTTTTTTGAGTCTAGTGAATGACTTGACCATTTTAATATTTAAAAGAGGCTACCTTTTAAAGAATAAATGTTTTAATCTTTTTCTATTTGTGCAGATTTCATTGATTTTTATTTTGTTCCTGCTACAGACCTCTTCTATATGGAATTTTAGCTCATTTCTTGCATGGCTCTAAGGATGGCATCCAGAATGCATTTCTGAAAGGGCCTTCACTTCAGCATCCAAGCCCAAATTTTGGCAGACAGCCTAGTAGAAGAAAGCAAATGGGTATGAGTTTTCTGACATTTATCATTTAACTGTCAGCAAATATATTTGCTTTTTATATATTTTTATCTTTGGAATAGTTTTTCCTGAACTTTTGAATCATAGTTTTATTCCATTCATACCCAGTATAGTTATCCTGTGGTAATTATCCTCCAAAAAGCAAAAAGCATTTTGGAAAGAGAATCTTGGTGGGGAGATTACTGTGGTAATATTCTTAGATATAATTTCTTTACAGAAGTATTGAAAAGCCTAATTTTCACATAAATTTGTAGTTTTGGGGCAACTTGATTCTCAGCACATGGAATAAAAAGTTTTTTAGCAAGTCATTTTATTATCCTCTAAGACTGGCTAATCATTCCTTTACTGATGGTACTTTTACATGTTTTTAATTTTTTTACTTTTACATGTTGCAATGTAACATTGTTTCTTTCTAGCAATGAATGTAAGTATTGTGTGGATGTCTAGAGTTGCTGGGTCGAAGCTTTTGCATATTAAAAACTATAGTAGATATTGTCTAATTCCCCTCCAAAAAGGCTTTACCAGTTTACCTGCTCACCTAGAATATATGACATTACCTGTTTCACTATTCAGTTGTCACCAGTAATTATTGTACACATTAACACTTTTTAATATAGTGACAAAGAGACTTTGGTATTATCAGTTCCATGAGGAAAAATAACCTCTTCAGAAATAACATTTCTGGTTTGTAAGCTTTTTATAATCAATCTCCTTAGTATTTATGGCTATTGACTAAATAAGAGAAGTATAAATAACAGGGTATTATTGAATTTTTGAACTGAGTCCTGTTAAGACTCATTCCCTGAGATGACGTCCGCAGATTAGATATTGGTAGCTTTACACCACAGCGAGAGAGACAAAGAGCACAAGCATGCATGAGAGAGCATTAGTTACTTTGGGACCATTATGTGTAAAGTGCCAGAGACATCACAGTGTTGGGTTCAGTAAAGCTTTGGGTGCCTCTTCTGTGGAACGCTCTGGAAGGCTCAGAGAGGATGATGACCACTGAACTAATGGGAAGAACAATGATTTTGCATATTATTTTTCTTGATCTTCAAAAATGTTCCTGGTTAAAGAAAAATATCGTTTACTTTCCAAGGAAAACTAAGATGTTCTTTCACATCCGGTTTAGGAAATGATTCTATAAGAAAACAAAACAAAAACATTTCTTGACACAACAGTGACCTCTCTCTCTACAGTTCTTGAGAAGAGTTGTCAGCAAAACATTGCATCATGTTCCAGTTACACTCTTTAGCTTTCCGTGTACTTTCTCAGCTCTAGCTTACTGTCTGAAGGACGTATAACTTTGTTTTTGTTTTTTTTTAATTGTTGTACTTTAAGTGAAAATGTACAATTCAAGTTAGTCTCTCATACAAAAAATTATACATACATTGTTATGTGACCCTAGTTGCTCTTCCTATACTGTGAGAGAACCATCCTCCTTTCCACCCCAGATTTCCTGTGTCCATTCAGCCAGCTCCTGACCCTCTCTGCCTTCTCATCTCACCTCTGGACAGGAGCTGCCCATTTAGTCTCATGTATATACTTGAGCTAAGAAGCACACTCTTCACGAGTATCATTTTATGTCCCATAGTCCAGTCTAATCTTTGCCTGAAGAGTTGGCCTCGGGAATGGTTTCAGTTTTGGGCTTAACAGAGAGTCTGGGGGCCATCTCTTCCAGGGGCCATCTAGTCTCAGTCAAACCATTAAGTTTGGTCTTTTTACTAGAATTTGAGTTCTGCACCCCACATTTCTCCTGTTCCATCAGGGACTCTTGTGTTCCCTATCAGGGTGGTCATTGGTGGTAGCCAGGCACCATCTAGTTCTCCTGGGCTCAGGCTGATGAAGTCTCTGGTTTATATGGCCCTTTCTAAAGGACATGTAACTCCTGACAGCACCGAAAAGATTAAGAATATATTAAAATAATCTTCAGATTACACCTTATCTCTATAAAACTCATCCAGCTACAATGTAAAACATTAAAATTAAATTCTCTTTTATTTGAAAATAAGTCCAAACCATGCCAAGATGAAAGCACTCCTCTCATCAAAGTTTTCAAAGTACTTAAAAAAAATGAAGAGAGTTTATGTAGGCATTACCCGCCTTTGAAACAATAGCCAATTCATTAGTGCCACTCATAGTACTGCTTTGTAATAGTGGAGGCAAAGTAATTTTTGCTATAAATAAAAGAATTTTTTATAATAGAGAAAATCATTATCAGCTCAATTTTATTACCCATCTATTAAGTACATGAATAACATTCTTTTTTTTTTTTTTAATAATATGTTTCTAGAAAACGTAAAGTGATTGTGTTCTAAGGAAATTGTTAATTTTGGTCTGTCCAGTGGGATGGCCTAAAATTGAGGGAGATAGATTTTCATCTGTTATCCAGTCCTATAAAGTAGTACCGGTAGTCTCCGACTTACAGCATATTCAAATTACGACAAATCGCACTTACAAATGGTTTTTTTTGTGTAAATCTTGTCGTTAGTAATATGTACTACATACAGTGTTACACACATAATTTGCTGATGTTATCATTCTCAAATGTTTATTCACAGATAGATGTTCAATGTTAATGATTTACTGTTCAAAGCACAGATATATAGTAGGCAATAATGAAAACTAAAAGGTACTCAATTTATGTCAGAACTGATTTACGACAGAGTCGTTGGACCCCATCGTAAGTCAGGGATTGCCTGTATTAGCACTTAGGATAATCAGCTACTGAGGACTAATAAAACTGTATCTTTTAGAGTTAAAAAATTAAAATTAAACAGTTTATAAAAATTGTCTTCTAGAGTTAGAAAATCCAGTGTGTGTTTATGGTGCTAAAATTGAATTTTTTAAAAACAATTCGACTAAATTTGTATTCTTTTTCCCTGTTATTAAAATTGTCATTAAAAAGGTTTTGTTTTTTTTTCAGTTCAAAAAGTGTTTAGGGGATTGGAGGATTTATATTTTCACAAGAATCTAGTGTTTGCATTGCGTTTGTATTATGTCTCTTTAGGTTCTTTTAATGAGAACTCTTCTATGGTCACCTTTTTTTTCTCCCCACAACAAAAGAAATTTAAGTGCCCGGGGCCTTGCCTTCCCTCTCACCAGGCACAGTGAGTGGTGTGCCC